TAATAGAATAACAATAAATTACAAATATCCCTACTCATTTTTGAGCAGTTTAGTTGCAAACAGTTGCTCAAGGCGGAGACAATACATATGATAATAATCCTTCTCATAATCCGTTCGAAATTCAATTCTTTCGAATCCCACCAAATGCATGACAGTCTTCTGCATTAAGCCTTTAAAAAGTGAACAATCAGAGCATCTGGCAAAATGTTGGTGGTTGTCTGGGTCTCGGAGTACATAAAGGAAATTACGAAAAGGGTAACAACGAGGCTATGGCTGGCTGTTACAATCTCAGGAACTTACTACTGCGATCCCCCCCAGGGACGCTCAAAATGGAAAGAAACATGATTAAAATATAATGGCAACGTCAAAGAAACGTATCACAAATAAGCTTTTTCGTAACAAGAGCGCAGTCAATAGGTGAACCTCGGATAATGTGAATCTTAGAAGAGCGATCGTCCTCATCTGAATCAAAGTAGTTCATAGCCGGTTGACACAGAGATCCTAACTTTTGTGCCAAATCTCTCGTACATATCCCGTATGCAGTGAAAGGTTCCTTCTTGCCTCCGACGAAAAATCTTTCATTTCTCACCTTACATAGAGAGTGAGTAGGAATGTCAATCGACATTATATTTTAGAAATAGATATCTTCACCCCTTTATGCTCAGGTTCAACCAGCACACTATAGACTGTACCGACCTCCTCTTTTTTATTGTCAATCGTGCACACGCTGTCAGATCTCAAATGGTAGGAAATGACGATAAAATATGTGAATTTTTTTTGTGACTGATATACCTTGGCCATATTGTACATAACCTATTTTCTCACCGATTTGTAGTAAAGTGTAAAAATACTCTCTGAAACAAACATACGAAACAATCATTTGCAAAATGGTCGTCAATGGTTAATATGCTAAAGAAATTTTAGATGAATCTAAATGAAACCAGCACCCCCATCTGCTATGTTGTTTTGTTTATAGCTGATTGTACCAATTTTCCCGCTGAGGAAGAGTCTCTCAAGCCCAGGTGTGAGCGACATTCGGCCTTCGGGGAGTAGCAGGGAGCCTGAACGGAAACTGCGAAAGCCTGAGGAACCGGTCGCCCACCACGAGCGCACTGATTGTGAAGAGTGAGTGCTTGCGATGAGGATCCCAATCCGACCTGCGGGATTTACTTTCCGCAGATTCGGATTCATCCCCCCGAGACGGCTGGCTGGGATAGGGCCGACTAGTTCGGCTCTTGAACGTCAATCTCGTCTCACCTACCCTGGAAGTCGTGGCCCACTTTATGTGGAACTACGGCGACAACGGGTGGTAGAGTGTGGTTTGGGACTCGAGACCCCGAAACGGCTCACCTCGTGTTCTCATCCACGGCCCTTTTTCTCAATCCGAGCTCCTTCATTCTATCCTGTGACCCCTACTAACTCTTGATTACAAGGAGGGTATCCGGGCACAAAATAAAGGTGCAGCCCAGAGTACAAGCTGTACTCGTGTCGGCCTAGGGTCGGCATGGGCGGCAGGGAACACAATGTACAAATTTTCCCTGTCCACATCTAAAGTAACCAGTCAATGTAAATTAACTTAATCAAATTTTTGAATATTATTCAATTTTCAAACATTTTTAGTATTTAATGTAAAATAAAACTGTTCATTTATAATATATGTTATCGCACACCAAGTTAATGCTTTGTTCAAATAAACAGAAAAACTTTTTTGTAAACTTGGGTGACCCTTGACAAAGGAAAAGGGAAATGGAAGAAGATAGTGAAAAACAATGCGTTAGCGATAAATCATTGCAGTTTAATAGATATTGAATCCTACTGTCAGGTATTGGTTCAATAAATCTCGGTAAGACGATGATCTATCAACGAAACTTCCTTTTTCAGGATGTCAAAGGCAGGAAGGACGTCACCGTCCAACTTTTCTTGAATCGATAAATCAAAGAGCAATTCTTCCGAAAAGGGATCAACCCTAAACCAATTAGGATGGTTGAAATCACTGATTTACTTTTTGATTTTGCTTCGAGTTCCAGGCACACAGCCCTTTACCATTGTTCATAAAACTTAATCCATTACAGTCTTCTCACTTAGAAACCTCAAATCTCTCTGTCCTTCTCCAATCTAGTTTTTCTCCTGGACACACAATCCGCTATCTTTTGACTGAAATATAATCGGCTATTGACCAAGGTAATCTCACAATTCTTGTACTCCAGTACTTTTGATACAATAGATCATTTCTGCCTCCTTTCTGAATCAAAACGTTATTTTTTCCCGCAGTGTCCTACATTGGTTCATATCTTTCTTTTGAGATCGCAAGACGTATCTTTCCCAGAGCCCATCCTCTTACCCTCCTTTTGGAGTCCTTCAAGCAACAAGTATTTCTGATTCCCTTGTTTGTTACTACGTTAAAAATTTCCCTAAGTCCATAAAATATTGCTTCCATCGTCTTTATGCAGACGTCTCCCAGATTTTACTTTTGCCCACTTACTGATTTACAACTTTTAATTATATGAATTCAGGAGGATTTAAGCCCAGTTACCTCCCGGACCGCTAAAAATATCCCTAACCTCAATGTAGGCCGCGGCCCTTGGTTACATCTGTATCCGAGTGAGATTTCTTGTCTGTATATAGGAAATAAAGCAAGTTATGGCTAAACAGGTTTCAACCTACAAACTGAAACGTGTAATATTTACTAAAAAGCCAATTATTACCCGCCTTGAGGATGTCAATAAATTTACATATCTCTTAAGCAACACACAAGCATACCTAAAAATCGAAGTTTGTTATTTTCTTTTATTCCATATCTATCCGACCGAGCAATCTTCAAACGAATGTCATCTACTCAACATTTAACATAAAATATTTAAAATTAATAAAAGCAAGCTGAGACAATAAGTGTTCATTAGTGTTGGGTTTTTAGTCCATTTCACCCAACAAATTCGAAATACATTTTGTTTGAGTATCTTATGTATATGTAAATGAGAGGTGAAGTTTTAAACTAGTACTCCAGACAAATATGTGAATATTGTATACAGCATATATTACAAAACATATTATAAAGTAACAAAATACAAAAATACAAATTCTTTCTCGACATAAGAGATTGTTTAAATCATTGAATAATATGCATGTTCATTGCTTCTTCTATTGTTAAGTGCGTCCTTTTTATGTTTAATATAGGAGGAATTAGAAAAAGTATACATTTTTAATAGATCATATTTTTTGTTATTATTTGTTTATTAAATTGTTTAATAAATTATTTATTAACATGGTACATTTGATAACAAGTAATTAGTTGTAAGATGAGAAAAATATAGCAATTTATAATTTATTGTGTCATAATTTATTCTATCGGATAGTTAATACGCTTTTTACCGACGATATCTTGCCTTGTTATATGAAAAATGGTAAAATGGACGTTCTGCTTCAGATGAAAATACCCCATACGAATATGATAGATACATCCGTGAGATTGAATTTTGAACTTCTCTTTGATCCTCCCTCGGCAGTTTGATAAAAAAAAGCAAGCTAGTCCTTGCACTGAAAATCATAATTACACTTCCGCACAGAATCCAGGCCGTCATACCAGGTATATATATATCCCATTAATGGAGAATTCGTGTAGTTCATTAAAGAGCAGTGGCAATTCCATTTGGAAATCGGTCACGTTATTGATCCATCGTGAGCATATGAGAGCTTCGAGACCGGTCGTTTCGGAAATAGAATATTCGTTAATTGAAATGAAAACTGCGAACGGAAATCGCGTATTATCCTCGATCAACCAACTGGCTTGTTCATATACATCTTTTAACATGTCCAACTGAGTCCAGAAGTGGGCCTGAGCAGTAGTAAACAGTGTCGTAATGACCGGGTGGTATTTATCTCGATTTCAACGGAAAGGATCTAAGGTGAGTACAAACAACACTCAGGTATCAAAAATTTTTCATTTTAGAGAAAGTGCATAACAGGCTTAATTGCTTTGTGAAACTGTTAAAACGTCAGATGTTACTTACTTCCTATAGGATCGAAGTATACACAAGTCACACACACAAAAAAGCAAAAAAAAAGCACGATGTCGGTAAATATGTAAAGACCATTGTAGATGCTCGGATAAAATAAACGGCGGCAATATTTTATTTTTGATTAGCGTGTTATAAATTCAAAAGGGACCAGTGACATATTACGGCGGCGCCCGGAGAATGATGCCAGCGTTTATTCGCATGATGACACAGCGATGCTATCTCTAACAAGGGTACCTTCTTGGCGATACATCATGCTAGACAAACGCAAATTACAGAAAAGAAAAAATGATACAGACTACATTATAACTCTAGACGTGTATAAATAACTTGCTTATAGTAAAAAAAAAAATTAACGAAGCTGGGATCAAGTTAGGTAGTAATGTTTTTTCAGTTATTCAAGCTATCATTACAAGGGTAATCAAAAGGTACAAACGATAAATTAAAGATGGAACTACATATTTAAAGTGTCAAAGCAGGCTATCAGTCCTCCACTGAACCTCAACTGCTACTATCGTACTAAATTTAACGCAAATAATTTTTACGACTATTTTGCACAAAAAAAAAATTAGCGGTTAATTTACACAATAGATGTAGTGTTATTTCAAGATTTAAATTGACCCACAAAAAGTTTAATATTTTTAGAAGTAAAATAAATATATTTGTTCTCGGTCCATCGGAGATTACCGGTGGCAAAGAAAAACTTGGAAAAACATTGTTTATCCAATAAGAATACCCCTTTGAGTCAAAGTAAGGGTGTAGATTAGAAGATGTCCTTATGACCTCCTGCAGATAAAGTGGACGAGGAGAAGATATCAACAAGTCAGTGATGCAGGACACTTGTGGGACCCATGCAATAAAACCAGGCAATCCCTAGGGAAAGCCCGATCTTTTATTAGCCTTTCCTATCTTGCCTTTTCCATTCCCTCTCCAATTTTACGACCCGAGACTTTTGTTTAAATAAACATTCGCCGTGTCGGCTCATACCTGGCGAAAAACACGGCGGCCGCCGAAGCCTGGGCTTCTCTGGATATTGGCCTGCCCCTGACAAGACTGGACGACTGGAGAGAGGCTTGAACTGAATACATGGTACTCATGTATAAAAGTTCTTCACCTCGGCACCTACTGGATCTGCTGCCCGCAATTTCTTTTGCATGTTCCTGAAAAATACGAAAATATAAATTTAAAACTCTCTTTAAAAAGAATCATAATTTTGTTAAAAAGTAAAAACGGTATTTACGATTATAGTTCTTTTACAACCATCAGAGTTCATAGCAGAAATCAAATAAACATCCTGAAAAAAACATTATACACCTGACCGGTTCTCAGGTTAATCATATATTATGAAATGTTCTTTACCAAAGATCGATCCTTCCAAATCTGTCAAGCCCTGTTACCAAACGGAGCTAAACGGCATTAGTATAACAATATATAACTTTATTTTTCTCCCTAAAAGTTTATTTTAAACAAACAACAAACCCCGTAAAATAATTGAGTTATTAAAAAAAAATAGTGTAAAATACTTTCTGATTAACTGTTTGTGTAATGAAATCATTGCCACTCAAAAATCAAGTACAATATCAGGAAAAGTTGGTTGTTAATTTTGGAGTCAGCAAATAATGCACTGGGAATTGGAAAAGTTTGGAGGCGAGGTCGGAAAATACGTGAGTGACTTCACAAACAGTCGCCTCTTCGGATTTGATTAAACCATCTTCCATAGAGCGAAATTAACAAAGTACGGGCATAAATAACCTTTGGACCCTAATCAGTTCTGGCTAATTGAAAATCCTGTGCCTGGGATTGTCTTTATTTTTCGCCGAGAGTTTTCGAAACAAATAAACGGTCGTTTGAGAAAAAGGGAGAAGATTTCTCTCTCTCTCTCTCTCTCTCGTTATTCTTTCATTAAGATTTCCCAAAGAGCACGTGTCCGCCCCTTTCAATCAATGCTTCTCCTTCGTCTCTTTGTGGAAATAAAACAAGTAATGGATTGAGTAAGAATGAATGCCGCGCAACATTTTAAGAAAATGAAAAATTCGACATGGACTATCTTGACCCTCCAAGTAAACACATAAAAAGGATCTATTGTATTCATTGATTTTTTTCACCATTAAGAAATTTTCAGTTTAAAGTTTTCAACATTGTATATAGTTCAAATAACTGCTTTGAAAAGAGACCAGGAACTGGGCACGAAATTGAAATCATTCAATTTTAAGTTAATAAAAAATAAGTTATCAAACATTACGTATGTATCACTTTAAACGGCAACCACTACCTGTTGGGAAGCGCGAATTACACATGATGCAAGCAATATTATTATTAAATTTAAATTACACTCTTTACAGGGAAGGTGAACAAAACCACATGTATAATTTCTATGTATAATTTGAATGCAAGAGAAGACATGATAAATTATAGGTTTTTTCCTAATTCTAAAGAAATTTCATCTTCGACGGCTTAAAAAATTTCAATTTGATAATTATAAAATTATAGAGTATGAACGTAAGGTTAATACTTAGTACATAGAAATTATATTTAGAAGCTTCTTACTCTAAAATGCTTCTAAACTTACATGAGTTAAAATTGGAAGTGTTTAAAAAAAGTAAGTATTTATTATAACTTTAATGCTATATTTTATTAGTTTAATGTAACACTGTAAAATAATTGTTTCCATTGATATAAAGCGTTCAAAGTCACCTTGGGAGATGGATTTTATGCTTATTGTTCAATAGTGTTTAAACAAAAAAGACATATATATATTTTTAATAATAAATAATAATTACGATACATAATTAATTATTTTAAATATTATTTAGAAATAAAGCACATTTTATTATTGTTATCACTAGTAGTAGTAGTAGTAGCAGTAGTAATAGCAGTAGTAGTAGCAGTAGTAGTAGTAGTAGTAGTAGTAGTAGTAGTAGTAGTAGTAGTAGTAGCAATAGTAGCAGTAGTAGTAGTAGGAATAGTAGTAGCAGTAGTAGTAGTAGGAATAGTAGTAGTAGTAATAGTACTAGTAGTAGTAATAGTAGTAGTAGTAGTAGTAGTAGTAGCAGTAGTAGTAGTAGTAGTAGTAGTAGTAGTAATAGTAGTAGTAGTAATAGTAGAGACGTAGCGGTAATACTAGTAGTAGCAGTAATAGTAGCAATAGCAGTAATACTAGTAGTAGCAGTAAGAGCAGTAGTATTAGCAGTAGAAGCAGTTGTAGGAACAGTAATATCAGTAGTAGGAGTAGTAGCAGTAAGATCAGTAGTATTAGCAGTAGAAGCAGTTGTAGAAACAGTAATAGCAGTAGTAGGAGTAGTAGCAATAGGAGTAGCAGTGGTAGCAGTAGTAGCAGTGGTCGCAGTGGTAGCAGAAATCGCAGTTGTAATAGTAGGAGTAGTAAAACAAACAAAACGCACTAAATGATTTGTTTCTGTAGCTAAACTAATGATTTGTGAGCAATGGGTGATGTCCGAACGGTCAGCGCCAGGGGGAGAAATGTTTGCTTCTCCTTTCCCCATTGGATTCTTTTTAGCAAGTTGTATATTTTCTTAAAGAGTTAGCTGTATCGGCCACTTTTTTACTCACGAATCATTTCGATTTCTATATGGTATGGATTAAAAAACGAATTCAATTGTTATCTACCAAGCTTTTGCCTATTTGAACGTCATTATCAGAACAAAACATCGACTCAATCCTAATATCTTGACTGAAAACGATTGAACTTGTTTTTATTTATTTATTTTTTTTCAGGCAATACCGAGATTAGATTATTCGTGAGTATTTCTGCTTGTATCATGTCTTGTATGGTTTTCCAGACTCCAGTTCTTTATTAGAATTGTTTGTGTTTATGTGACAAAAGAGGTTTGAGCTTATGTATTGTTTGCTCCTGGAACCAACCTTAGCGCAGACTGTTTGTAGTTCCCGGTTTTTAAGGGTATTCAGGCGTACTGAAGGGAATAAAACGTATTTGACAGAATAACCGAGCGAAGATAGGCAAATAAAAATGTTCGCTAACAAAATTACAGCTTCAGACTGGGTGATTTGATGTCAAGAACTTAGCATCCTGGCTATTTACTACATACAATGTTGCACCTTTGAGAATTTTTTTAATAATCCCATTTGTACAAATGTCAATGGCTAGTAATTTCGTATGTAAGAAGTTGTGGTAGATCCCAGGCCATGTGATATTATAAGTTTGGCCTTTTATGTCATTTCCCATTTTTGAGCCGTCTATATACCATAAAAGAGCTCCAGTTTCTGAAAGAAATAAAAATTGCACCAACTTTTATTTTTAAAAAAATTGTTTAAACAATAAATAAAATAGTAACGAAAGAAAAGAACAGTAAACAGTGTTTGCTTTTCCTTTTATTCATTTTGCTTGCGTATTCACAACATATGATTGCTGCTATTTTAAATCTAACATAACCTTTTAGGATGTAAGTTCTTTATTCAATCATGAAGTTGATTGTTGTAACATTATTGAACAGTACACGTCTTTAGTTACTTTTCCGCAACGACCATAACATTTACAGGAAATGAACGTGCCGAAGTTATTCGTAATGTTTCTTATGTTCCTGTGTATAAAAATTGTTATATTCCCGACGTTTCCTCCAACGAACCCTTGTGACATCCTTTCAGAGCCATCAAACCGAAACCCTTTCCGGTCCCAAGGGCGTCTATTGTTTCTCGACCCCTCGACAAAAATATGACGTGTGACGAAACCCGTCCACTCTTACAAAGCCGTTCTTGCAGAAGCGGTAACTTGCATTGCCCACGAATTTCCAATGCCCGAAGAACAGTTATTTGAACGTTTACAGGTTTGGCGAGAAGAAAGATAGCAGTGCAATATTACAGTGATACGAAGACCTACTAGTAATGTTCATTGTAGATTTATGATATTTTTAATGGAACCTTGCAAAAATATTAACTTTTTAGACCATTATAGATAAAAAATTTAATAAATAAAGCAAAGAAAACACCTTCAGAATATTTTGCAAGCTCGTATAGTTTAAAAATCAAATTCATTTTGGTACCATTGGTGAAATTCCACAAACGCGCCTAAGAAAGAAGGTCATATCATAAAACCGCAAAGCAAAGCTTTGAACATTTACCGGCTTACAGTAACACAACTCCGTTGATGCTCTTTAGAAAATTGTCGAAAAGAAATCAATTAATGTATTTAATGCAGGTTCAAGAGATTTGCTATACTGCCACTATTGCCTCTCCTGCTCTGTACCTATTGTTCTCCAGGAGTCATATGTTCCAGGTGAAGTAGTTGTATTTCTCGCAAATTTGTGTTTTAGGTCTCGAAATATTGATCTCTGGCCTTTAGATTGACAGGATTGGAGACGTTGGATATTGGAAGGATTGTCGGTTCTCCAGTGCTAGTCTGTATGTACAAATTGGTTGTGATAGTGTTTTGTAGATCATGTTTGTTGTCAATAGTTTGGATAGTCGTTCTATAAGTTTGTAGAGTAGACGTAGAGTAGTGATGAGGACTTGTCGTTTCAGTAGCGTATGCCGATTTCATGAGTGAGTGTAGTTAGAACCCAAGGTAAAGAACCCAGTCCGATTTAGGGATAAAAACATCGTTGTTGTATATTGTGGTAGAAGATTTGTTTCAAAATTAAATGTGATGGGCAAACTTACTTTCATTTCTATTCAATTTTCATTGTCTACACCAATCTGGTATACATGTGTATGTCTCTGCAGATCTGCCGAAGCAACCGCAGGATCGGGGTCAGAAGATAGTACAGCTATACGTCCTCAAATGATGCAAGGAGGGTGGTAAGTATAGTGGGAACATCTACAGCACAACGGACATGTAGGACTGGTTCAAGTATTGTACAATTTTGGTAACAGTCTTTTAAGAATCATGTTTTCTTCTTCTTTTTTTTCAAATAGAAAGTACAAACTTAGTTAAGAGATGAAGGAACAGCCTAATCCTAAATCTTAAAAGGTGTAATTGATGTAAGGATAGCAGGCCAAATGATCATGCCTTAAGTTCGAATCCCCTGGCAGACTCCAAGAAGAAACCTCGCAATTAAATCACAAATGTAAAATTTTGTATTTATTCAGTTATCGGAAGGGACGAGTCAACAGTCCGGTTTTTACGACAATACGGTCAAATTATATTTTCCTTATCTAAAAACAAGAATGACGGATGACGCTCTTT